TCTGGCATCTTTGGCGAAAGAGTTTGTTCAAATGGTTAAAACTCAGTTTTCAAAGACTATTAAGATTATTAGATCTGATCCTGGAGGCGAGTTTACGTCAAATGACCTGCTTGCGTTCTATAAGAATGAAGGAATCTTGCCTCAAGAATCATGTCCTGGTGTTTCACAGCAGAATGGACTTGTAGAACGTAAGCATCGTCACGTTCTTGAGTTAACTCGCGCACTATTATTTCATTCTGGTGTTCCATGCCGGTTTTGGGTAGAGGCAGTTCAAACAGTTGTTTACCTGATTAATCGACAAATTACGCCGGTTTTGGGTCAGTGCTCTCCTTATCAGATGTTGTTTGGAAAGATGCCTGACTATTCTACTTTACGGGTTTTTGGATGTGTGTGCTTTGTGTTACTTCCTCGAAAAGAACGTCATAAGTTGGCTCCTAAGACTGCTCGGTGTGTGTTCGTAGGATATAGTACAAAGCACAAGGGTTATTTATGTTATGATCCGGTGGATCGTCGGATGTGGATTGCGTGTCATGTTGTTTTTCTGGAGCAGGTAATGTATTACTCAACGAACCGGGATGCATTACCTGAGGAGTCCTTGGATTTTTTGCTGCCGTTGCCTTTGTTTGAATCCACTCCACCTCAAGACATGCATGCAGCCACGTCCAACAGCACACCCCAGCCCACAAGTTCACCTTCTTCAAGTTCTTCATCGTATGGTCCAAATTCTTCGTCCCCGCACAGTCCTTCAACTACGACCAGCTCGGGCATGATGTCACCATTCGTTGCTAGCAGCTACGGCTCGCACTCGTCGTCATCAAGTGGAGGGTCTTCCTCCTCTTTGCACCCTAGCGAGCTCCAGCTGTCTCCTCCCTCGGAACCACCATTGGTTCCCCTTCGTCGTTCTCATCGTGCAAATTTGGGGCAACCGCCCATAAGAATGCAGGACTATGTTGGTTTTTCGGCCATGCCCATCATCATTCCCACTTGTTATGCTGAAGCAAAGGGTGACCCACGATGGGAAGGGGCCATGGCGGAGGAGACTGCGGCTCTTGATGCTAATCATACCTGGGATCTTGTTCCCCGCCAGCCAGGTATGACAGTGATTGGTAGCCGTTGGGTCTATAATGTGAAACAGTTGTCTGATGGTTCGCTCGAGCGGTTTAAGGCCCGTGTTGTTGCCCAGGGTTTTCGTTAGGTTTATGGAATAGACTACGAGGAGACGTTTGCTCCTGTTGTCAAGATGCAAACGGTTCGTTGTGTGTTTGCTGTGGCAGCTATGCGTGGATGGCCGTTATTTCAGCTGGATTTCAAGAACGCCTTCCTTCATGGTGACTTAAAGGAAACTATCTATATGGAACGTCCACCTGGGTACACTAAAGGTGATTCAAGCATGGTTTGCAAGCTGGTACGGTCGTTATATGGCCTTAAACAGGCACCGAGGGCTTGGTTCGATAAATTTCATGGCACAGTAGCTCAGGGAGGGTTTGTGCAGAGTCAGAATGATCCCTCCCTGTTCATTCGCAGTACAGTTGATGGGATTATAGTCTTGTTGATATATGTTGATGACATGGTAATAACGGGGAGTGATGCGCAGGGGATACAAGAGCTGAAGGACTCGTTGCATCGGTCCTTTAATCTTAAGGATCTAGGAAATGTTGAGTACTTTCTGGGTCTGCAGGTAAATCGCTCCGCGCATGGTATATTTGTGTCACAGAGGAAGTACATAAATGACTTGTTGACTACGGCCAGGTACAGTGAGAGTGTTCCATGTTCGACGCCCATGGAACAGAACTTGAAGTTAACTCGGGAGAGTGGTGATTTGCTGGACGAGGATAGACAGTCCATATACCGCAGTGTGGTGGGCAGTCTTATTTATTTGACACACACTCGCCCTGATATTTCGTATGCTGTGCAGGTTGTCAGTCAATATTTGGGAGTAGCCAGGACCATGCATTTCGATGCAGTTCATAGACTGCTAAGGTATTTGAAACAAACTCAAGATGTGGGGATGTTCTTTCCAGCATCAGGTGACCCAGTGATCGATGCGTTTGCCGATGCAGACTATGCTGGTTGTAAAGACACCAGGAGATCGACTTCGGGTTGGTGCATTCGTGTAGGCAACTCATTTGTTTCCTGGAGGTGCAAGAAGCAGGATCGAGTATCTAAATCTTCTACGGAGGCAGAATATCGATCTATGTCTGAAGTGAGCTCGGAAATGGTATGGTTGCATCGGTTGCTTGGTGAGCTAGGCATGGAATGTCGTCGGCCTATGCGGATATTTGGTGATAACACCAGTGCGATACAGATTGCTATTAACCCGGTGTTACATGACAGGACGAAACATATTGAGGTGCATGTCCATTACATTCGGCAGTTGATCGCAGAGGGTTTGATACAGGTTGGATTTCTATCGACTGAAGATCAGACTGCAGATATCCTAACTAAAGCTCTGGCTTCAAGCAGGCATTGGTTCCTCTCTTCCAAATTGATGTTACGCACTCTACATCAATTTGAGGGAGGGTGTTGAAGTATTTAAAGTTTGTGTACCTGCTTGTAATTAGTCAGCCGAGTTTGTACATATAAATATGTAACCTGTATCACGAAAAACCCTAACGCGAATAAGAGTTTACCCTTGGAGAGTTCTACCTCTCCCGTGGACTAGTCCTGATCATCAGGAAAACCACGTTAAATCGTTGTGTTCTTTAGCGTATCGTATACAAATTGATAGCTATGTCATGTTCAAATTCATTGTAAGAAGGGTAATTACTGTAATTATTGCAAGAAATTGGATCACATTGTGTAGGAGTTTCCGAATTTCACCAAATGTAAGAAAATTTGTTTTTTCCAATCATGAAACTTTGTCAAGTAATTCTTCACACGCTGGAAATTCTTCTCACATGCGTGGTGCACATATTTTAGTGACAAATGTCCCTTCAGTATCAGTATCAGCAGTGGCACCATTAGAAATTAATGGTACATATCCGTTTTCTCCGGAGTTTGTTTCGAAGCTTGTGCCAGATACATTACGGGAAGCACTTCCTCAAGTGTTGATATCTGCATTTGCTATCGGGTTGTATCTGGTAAGTAACATCGTTGATTATTATAGTCTATGCAGCATTTAATCATATGACATATACACGGCCTACGTTTGACAAGTTGCAACCTGCTTCCCAATTGAACTTACGTGTGGCTAATAATGAACAAATAGTTGTTATAGGATGAAACATCTCTTCGACTAGATCTATTACTCTTCCAGGCACCCTATATTTACCTCGTTTACTTCTTAATATAGTATCCATGGGACAACTAACTAAAGACAGTTGTCATGTTATGTTTAATTCCATCGGTCGTGTGGTATAGGACAAGAAGACGAGGACGGTCATATGGAAAGGAAGTAAGCAGGGTAGGGATTTTGTGCTAGATGAACTAAGCCAACAATCTGTAAATGGAGCACAAGAAGGAGTTGGGTAAATGGTTTATCCAAAGTTTTTGGAGCTGGTTCAGTTCAACATGACAGAAAAGTGAGAAATTTGAATTCTTTATATGGGTCTTTGTCGAGATATTTTTTCATTGACTTGGTTTGGATTTTTTAAAGAATGTTGAAGTTTGGAATTTATGGTCATATCTAGGTGTGGGCAATGGATGGGTTGGGTGAATTTTCGTTTCAAATTGACCCACCCGTTTACTAGCTAGTTGGAATAATTGTGATCCGCAATCTACCCACATTTTCCTGCGGGTCGGATTGGGTGAGTGGCGAATGGATGCGGTTGGGTCATGGGTTAACCCGCAAAATCAATTTTCCAACTAGCCATTAAGAAAGTTGACTAACATTTATAATAAGTTCATAGTAAATTAGTAAGTCTGTATCAATTCAAACACTTCTCCCGTTGTCTCATCCTCAAGTGAATACATGTAGTATTTGCATAAATTTTTTTACTACTCTATCAACCAATTGTTAAGAGAAAACTTACGCATTTTGTTATTTTGATACAATTAATAATTTATATTTTTCATCCCAATATTTAATGGATATTAACAATAATTTGCATTCCAATATTCAATGGATATTAAATCACACAATAACCAATAGTAGTAGTAAAATTTTTTCTTTATTCTCCTGCTTTAAAAGTATATGGTCAGATTGTAGTACAGTTCGGAAATATGATGGATATTTGATACTATAAAACTAACTCCAAACCACAAAGCCAAATTTGGCTCCCCAAATAGCCAAGTATGGCTTTTTAGCTCCCCAAACCTCATTTTCACTCAAATCCTACAAAAAGTTAAATTTAGCTTCCCACCTCCCATTTTCAATTTATTTCAATAAACCATACTTATTGCCCTCTAATTTTTACATTTCACTTTAATTTTTTCATAGTTCGTTATTAGTTTCGAAAACAAAATTTTCGATGTATTTGTTTTTAAATTTCGAGACAATTGTTTTTTGAAAAATTAGTCGTTAATTTGTTACTGTTAACTTTGGGACCACTCCAAATATGACCTTTTTGCAGTCGTTACTTTACGACCATTTTTTTGTCATTTTGTGCACTGTATATCTTTATAAATGATGGTTCTTCATTTTCATCAACTCAACTGATTCTCTTTTCAATTTAAATCTCAAACCAACAACCTACACCAATCATAAATTAAGGAGAAGAAAAAAAAAAGGGGCAGCCGATCGCATGGGACGGACACTACCATTCGAGCATAACACTCGAGCATAACACTACCATTCCATATTAAAAAAAAAAGAATTCTGTCCACAAGGAATAATTAACATTCGAGCATAACACTACCATTCCATATTAAAAAAAATAAAAGTTTAGAGACAGGTGGAAACTACCATTCACATGTGTGCAGAAAACTACCATTGCATGGAAGGAAACTACCATTCAGGAGTACCAAAAACTACCATTCCACATCAAGTTATAAATACAAAATTCCTGATTATGTTTGTACTGGCAGAGTTGTAAAACAAAAATTCTGTCCACGAGGAATAATTACCATTCGAGCATAACACTACCATTCCATATTTAAAAAAGCACGGGTTTAGAGACAGGTGGAAACTACCATTCACATGTGTGCAGAAAACTACCATTGTATGGAAGAAACTACCATTCAGGAGTACCAAAAACTACCATCCCAACAGAACACTACCATTCCACATCAAGTTATAAAAACAAAATTCCTGATTATGTAAGTAGTGGCAAAGTTATAAAAAAAATATTCTGTCCACGAGGAAGTAATATCTAAATCAAAAACTCAAGCATGAGGTGACGCCGGTTCATGTTGAGTGTAGCCTCGTGCCAAACCTTCATGATTATCAACAGCATGCTCAGTCAGCTGATCTAACAATATGTTGCTGTCATCCTCGAGTATGCTTTTCACCAACTTGACAATCCTAGAGCTGAAGTAGGAAGCCCCCTGCCATTCATTCTTCCATTCGGATACCAGCCTCCCATTCCATAGTTCACACACGTTTAGGCACACAAGTCCACCTGTTTTATCTTCGGCCTGTACCCATACAGGAACATTGCGCCATAGAAAAGAGTCGAAGGAGTAATCCAACTTCAACTTTGCACGAATATATACAGTGGCATACTTCACGACCAGCCTACCAATGAGCTTGTGGTGCTCCGTAAATTTCCCGCCACGTGGGTTGAAGAACTCAAACTTCTTGTCACGTAAATTGACACAATATAGAACATAATTTGAGTCACACTCATATGGGAAAAACCACTGCAAGAAATCGGGAAAAAAATTTATAGAGTTAGAAACGACATATGACTAGTGTAATTGCATGCGGGCGTAAAAGTATGAGATCTCAGTCACTTACAAACTTGCAGTCAGCGAATGACAGATTATTAACAAATGCGTACTCCTCAATTAGATGATATGTCTCGCCCAAATAATCACTTTGGGTGCTCTCCGCCGCTGAGTCCTCAAACTGAAGTACTCTACCTTCCAAATACTGAAACAATGACAAAGGGTCGGATGTCTACCATTGCTGTGAAACGACGAGTACTAAAAATAAACTGTGAGTTAGAACTTACTGCAAACCGTGTCGGGAAGATCCACCGGGTCAAGTTTCCAGACTGACAAATCTTTTGATTCAAGATTTGGACATAGCAATCAACGAATTGCCTAGTAATGACACGCATACGTGCTAACTGAGCATCTTTCCGCTGCAAAATCACGAGTCTTTCTTTGTCTGTCCGCAAAACCTCTTCTGGATCCCTAAAATTAATGTGAAAACATTTCCAATGTTGTAATATAAAACGATAATAAAATTTTCCAGTATTGATGTAAAATTCTGAAAGTTAAATTAATCATACCATCCATCCCCATCTACCCATGCATACTCCACTCGCAACCAGCTGAGGACATCATCAGGCAGATGCTCACTCGCTGAAGGAGGATTCGGGGGAACAGTGACAATACCATCTGCAGGTATTGGGTTTTTTTTCTTCCTTCAGATCAGTAAGTCTACAGTAAGGTGATATTAATGCCTTACCCTTGTTTCGTTTCTTACGGAGATTATAAGTCTGCAGCATTGGGGGCCTTGTCTGGAAATCATCGTCTGAATTCATTTCTAGGTCAGCTTGTATGGAAGCAAGGGTGCTTGAGATAATCTGCCCGCTTGGATCGCTGGTCCCTAGTACACCTATGACAGGTCCAGTGTTGTACAAAACAATCTCTTTCCCATGAAGATCTACTGGATTGGCTGAAATTCCAACACCTATGGCGACTATGTTATCAGAGGTTGCTCTGGTATAGCTTAATAAAACTAATAAATTTGTAACCCCAAAGCGGGACCAATACTAACATAAAAGCACAGAAGATACAAAAATAAAGGATCACCACTACAAAAAGAACACAAAATAGAAATGGAAGAGTTTAACAGGAGATAGCATAGTAGTTTACATGCCGAATGTAGAGGTTTAGTTACAGGCCGCTAATAGTCATAAGAGATACAATGTTCAAAAAGTAAGATAATTGTCCGATTGGAAGTTAAGGTAAAAGTACACCCAAGTACACCCAAATGCTGCGCACAAAATTTATGCGTCATTACCTTCAGGAGCAGCCCCCTTTGCTGGGTTGGGGGTTGTAAAAGCTGAACCACCACCGTCACCTGCATGAATGTGAAAAATGAGCAAGTTTCCTGTCCGAAAATGGGAAGTACAAATGTAAATGAAATAATACTACCAATGCATATTTGAAAAACTACCAAAGCAAATGCAAACACTACCAGTGCATGCTCCAAACTCTACCAAAGCGTATTACAAACACTACCAAAGCAAAATCAATTTTTCTACCAAAACAAATACACTACAATGTCAACACTGCAATTACGGTTTAAGTGCATAACCGAGATATAAAAATGAGAATGAAAAAGATATGCCATAATACGAAAACAACACGAACATATAGGAACAGATTATTACCTGGAGTTATTTCAGCGCCAGTATCCTTGTTCATCCTTGCATCCGCTGTATCATCCTTGTTAACGGTAGCAGCCCCCTTTGCTGGACCACCACTGTCGACTGCATGAATGTGAAAAAATGAGCATAAGTAAAGTTTCCTGTCCGAAAATGGGAACTACAAATGTAACTGAAATAATACTACCAATGCATAGTTGAAAACTACCAAAGCAAATGCAAACACTACCAGTGCATGCTACAAACTCTACCAAAGCGTATTACAAACACTACCAAAGCGAAACCAAATTTTCTACCAAAACAAATACACTACAATGTAAACACTGCCATTACAGTTTAAGTGCAGACCAAAGATATGAAAATGAGAATGAAAAACATATGCCATAATACGCAAATAACACGAACATATAGGAACACAATATTACCTGGAGTTATTTCAGCACCAGTATCCTTGTTCATCCTTGCATCTGCTGTGTCATCCTTCATCACGGTAGCATCCTTGTTCGCAGGGCCTTGACCATCGCCTACAGTTCTTGGTTCAACAGCATGGTCTTCTCCTTCTAACCAAAACAGCAATGAAAGAGGCCGTGCCAATGATAGTTAACAATATGTTCAAATGAATATCGAAAACAATTGTTAAAACTTTGTTGTAACTGACCTTCTTCATCCTTAGACGACCCATCCTGACTTTCTTCCCCCTCAGACGACCCATCTTGAGTTCCTTCTTCCTGAGACTGTTCGTCTTCAGCTTTTTCATCGTTCATCTGTCCAGAATTAGCATCATCGCCCATCTGTCCAGAATCGGCATTATTAGCATCTGAATCAGATGCATCAGTATCAATTAATCCTTCCTCTTGATAGCCACCGTCTTCCTCATTTGTTTCGTTGACTACAACATCATCAAGTGGTGCAGCCTTCAGCTCTGCTAACCGCCTGTCGCAGTGTCCAATCTTTAGTTTGATGTAGCCCAACATATCCTCCAGACATTTACGAGTTGCCAACAACTAGAAGCATGGACAGTAAATAGTATTAGTTTTATCTTCTTTGCAAAGAGTGAATGATTGACTAAAGAAATACATAGTAACAACAAATAACTCAATTACCTCAACAATACCCATATCCTCAATCGATGGGTCACTTGTAGACAATGCAGGAATGAATGTAGGGGCTGTATATGAAGTTCCAGCTTCACTGACTTTGGCCTTCTTTTTCCTTTGTTCCATCAACCTCACAATAGAGTCCGAGGGATTCCTCTTCCTGGGCTCAGTGCCGATGTGGATGTATGGCACACGATCTAAAGCCATATGCTTTTCCAACATACCAACTCTCCTCTGGTACACCTCAGTATGGTCATAATGCTTGCACGATGGCAGGTCGGTGGTGATGTCGAGGGTTTCAGATGTCCGGTACAGGAACCAACATGTCAGGAGGTGCAGATCCCCATTGGCATAGGACGCTATCTTGCTGCCCATACGGCACTTCTTCAGCTTCTTCCAAACATACGTACACCAGTCATACTCAGAGAAGATGCTGAAACTGTTGTCTTGAAGGAATTCCAACACTGATATTGGACCAATTGCCGAACTTGTAGGTTCCAACACATATCCAAACACCAACATTACAAACATCCGGATCCAGATCGCGTCCTCAGTCACGTCGGGTAACTTTTTTGCCAAGGACCAAAGCTTGTTCCAATGCTTCTCTTTTGAATCAATGTGCAACATCTGTCCTGGCAGTGTCTTGCACTTGTTAATGTTGACATTGGGTACCTGCTTTTGACCACGAGGAAGGCCATAAACCCGTTGCACATCATCAACTGTGAGGACTAGGTGACGTCCATCAGCCATCTGAATCGACATGCTGTCCCCATTGAACTGGTCAATCAACCAGATAAGCAGCTCGCTGTCAAACCTTTTCATCTTCAAATGGAAAACAAAATCCAATCCGAGCTTCTTTATTAGCTCTATCCTTGAATTTGTTATACCATTCTCGACAATTGCTATAATCGATGCGGGGCTGCACTTCTTCCCAGGTGCTTTAGATTTACCCATATCCTTCTGCGGCACAGCTTCATAAATAGAGTCCGAGGTTTGCCCACTTCCAACTTGAACCTGACGACTGCTGTAGGTAACAGGTTCCTTGTGTTTTGAGCCCCTACGACTGGGGTTCTTGGTTCTTGCCATTCCTAAAATTGGAAAAATGGGAGGTAAGTCGTTTAACATTAATCAAACTACCAGATTCACATGTATGGAGAAAACTACTAATGCATGAAAGGAAACCACCATTCAAAAAAACTAAAAAACTACCATTCGAACAGAACAGTGCCAATCCACATTAAAAACACGGTTTCACATGTATGCAGAAAACTACCAATGCATGAATGAAAACAGTGAAGAACTACCAATCCAAATGCAGACTACCAATCCAACATGACACAACAATTCAAAACAGTGATAAAGAACTACCAATCCAAATAAAGAACTACCAATCCAGATAAAGAACTACCAATCCAACATGACACAAAAATTACAAACAGTGATAAAGAACTACCAATCCAAATAATGAACTACCAATCCATATAAAGAACTACCAATCCAACATGACACAACAATTACAAACAGTGATAAAGAACTACCAATCCATATAATGAACTACCAATCCATATAAAGAACTACCAATCCAAATGAAGACTACCAATCCACGACAACCTGAAAGCTACCATTCTAACAGGAAAAACTACCATTCGACAACCTACAAGCTACCATTCCAACATTACACTACAATTCAAAACAGCAAAAAAACTACCATTCCAAACATAACACTGCCATTCATAGATTGACAAGGGATTAAAGCACTACCAATGCACTAGAACCTACCAATCCGAACAACCAAAAACTAAATCACTACCAAAAACAATACAAAAACAAGAAGAATACCAAAGCAAACAAAACCAAATCCACGATACGGTTTAAAATTGAAGATTAGAGTTCTGGCGGGAGACGAACCTCAGATCAGTAGCTCACAGCCGACAACGGGAATGGATGATGGAAGAGATACGATGAATTTCGCCGCCGGTGAGACGCCGAAAACGCTCGTTTATCCACCAACGGAAAAAGAACCAGCCGCCGACAACCCTCGCTAGAAAGGAACGACGGCTGCGACTGTCCAGAAAACCCTTCCTTCTCTGTTTGCGCGAGGGAGGGATGGTGAAGACGGAAGATACGCAGGCGCCGAAGAGAGACGACGCCGGAGAGAGAATGCGGCGGCGGACAGATAATGCGGCGGCGGCGGACAACGCCGGAGAGAAATCCGTCGGAGGGCGGCGGCGGACAATGCGGCGGCGCCGAAGAGAGATCGCGGACAGAGAAGCTTCTGCGCTGCTCTCTGCAAAAGGGAAAAGGTAAAGGGAAAAGGGTTTTGGGTTTGGGAGCTGGTTTGGGAAAAGGGAAAGAAACAATAAAGAAGGGAAGCGTGGGGCAAGGCTGTGATTTCGGGCCCAGTAATGTTGTTTGGTCCATTCCGTAAACACCCTTCCACAATATGGGCCCTCAGATTTAATTTCTCTAATCTGTATGGCCAAAAAGGAGGTAGCCATGGTGGCTACTTAAAAAAAAGGAACCAGCCTAACGCATTCCATGACTAATACTAGTGTTTTCCTTTTGGAGTTATGAAAATAACAAGAGATTAGGTGAGAGACGAGAGTGACTTAAATTGGAAAGTCAAAATTGAGTTGGACATGGACTTCTATGTTGTGAAAGAGTGAGCAATGACCAAAGGTTGTGTGTTATATTTCATTAATTTTTAATATTTGGTATTCCTCGGTATTTCGGTATATACAGATCACAATCCCATAATCCCGAATACCAAATAGCACTCCAAAATGAATCCCAATCCCAATCCGAATCCCTTAGAAATAAGTCTGTATTTGGTAATACCAAAAGTGATAAGTTCAGTACGGTATTCGATATATCCCAAATACCGGTACCAAACTTTCAGCCCTACATGTATCTAATGACTATTGGGTTAAGACAGTTACGTTCATACAGTGGTCTATCCCATCAATCGTCAAATAACACCATTATTGAATCAATGCTCTCCAGACTAATTTTTTCAAAAACTCCAAACTAATCGCTTTTGCGAGTCCATGGGTTCATGCAGGGGCGGACCCAAGGGGGTTTAGGGGTGTCCCCGGACACCCCTAAATTTTGGGAAAACGATTATCCAACCCCCGGTAATAATTTACGTATGGACAAAAAAATATAATTGATAGTGAGGGACACCCCTTAAATTTGAAAAAATGATTATCCTTATGTCATTTGTGTATAGGAATATAAGTGGTAGGTTGGATAATTTAAATCTAGAACACTATTATTATTATTAATAAACTTAATTTTCGTTGAGCTAAACTCATTTGTTGTTCGATTTTGAACAATGTGAGTAAAATGACATTCCCTATCTCTAATTATTTTAAAAACCTAACAATTAAACTAATTTCAAACTACCCTTAATTTGTATTGATTTTATGATTGTATGGCAAGTGTTGAAAGAGTCTTTCAGCTTTGGGTTACATCAAGAAGAAATTTACAAATCGAATATGCGATAAGTTCGTGAATGATTGTCTAGTAGTGTATATAGAGAGAATTTTTTTAACACTATAGACACCAACTGTATTCTACAATTATTTCGGAATATGAAAACATATCATGGACTTTTTTAACCTATACGAGTAAGGTATTTTCATATTTACAATTTTATTTTTATTAATTATTTTTATTTTTATTAAATTTATTTTTTAAAAGAGGACACCCCTATGAAAAATTTCTGGGTCCGCCATTGGGTTCATGTGTTTTGTACTTCTTCCTCGAAAGGAACGACATAATATTGCTCCAAAACAGTAAAATGTGTGTTTATCGCTTACAGTGACAAACACAAAGTTTATTATTTCTATGATCATAATGGGAAGAGAATGCACATTGATTATCACGCGTTATTCCTAGAACATGCCATTTATAATCTGATAACTCGAAACCCTGTTCCTGAAGAAAGAGAGGAAAATGGAGGGGAGGCGAAGAGAATTAAGAGGCGAGGGATAATTTGGAGATTAAGAAAATTGGAAGGAAAATGATGTTTTATGAAGGAAAGTGAGAAGGAAAATATTTATTGGGAATTGTGATTGATATGTTATTTTATTGGATATTTAATAGTAAAATAATTTGATTATATGTTGATTTTATTTTCATGGTTATGAATTGTAAATTAAATTTTTATTTTCTTACTAATTTTGTTCACTATTAAATATCAAAAGTAGATGTTTTGAATTTTTTTTTGAACCTATTATTCAAATTTTGTTCATTATTTAATTGATTTATCAACATAGCAACTAAAAACATAAACATACAACAAATCACACTACACATACACATATCTGTAAAAAAACAAGGTCGTAATAATGATAGACATACAACAAATCACATGGAGGACTTAAGTAACTAGTTCGTGGAGCGAGAGCGACAATAGAAGCGGGATCGAGAGCACGCAATCGTCTATTTTAGAAGAATCCAATATTGAAAGGGTAAAAGAGCGTCATTATTATACTTTTTCAATAGAGCTAGTACCAAAATAGTATAAAATAGAATAATTATGAAAAATTTGTAAAAAGTAAAACCGAGAGTAGAAGGTGGGTGAAATGGTTTACTGATTAATACTATTAGTATAATAGAATTATAATTGAAAATGAATATGAAAATTCATTTCAATAGAAAAGTTATTTTATTTATATTTTCCATTTTATCCATACACTTTACTAATCTCAACTTTCTCCATAGCTCTTCAAAATAGAGACAGAAAACCAAGTTCAACCCTTTTTTTCCTCTCTTGATCCTATTTGCAGATACTCACATGCAACCGACAGGTGAGTTATTTCCCCCTTAGATCTCGCATGAGGTAGATAAATCCACCACTGATGAGGCTCCGGCAGGCTACGATCAAGCTACTTTGGTGGGGAGAGAAGCAACAACGAGTATGCAAACCGTAGATTAATGACACCGGGGAGGCAGGGGTCTTTTAGTTCTCTTTAATCTCTACTTCAAATGTGATTTTTGGCTATGAATATTGTTAGAACAGAAGCGTGCAATCGATAATTCAAACCAACACGAACGAATACAAATTTAACGTGGTTTACTAACACAATGTGTGCTAGCTAATCCACGGGCAAGAGAGAACAAATTTCATTGATTTTGAGGAGAGTACAGGTTACAAACCAAATTCCAAACTGACAAACCAAACAACTAACTCGACTGACCTTACAACAGATTAGGGTGGTGAAGAGTATTTATAGAACTCTTCTCCTAATCTCAAACAGAAAACCAAACACCTTTTCCAAACCTACAAGGAAAAGGCCAAAACATAGCCCAAACACAAACCCAAACAAAATACGCCCAAAACACAAAACAAACCCAAATCAAATTCAAGTCATATTCTAACAATCTCCACCTTGACTTGAATTCTCTTTCAAATACCAGATGTACCAGACGCAACCAAAGTTGCTAGATGTACCAAACTTCTCCAAATAAGCTATACCAGAATCTCCCCTGCCTCCAAATGCCCCTAAGGGGCGGTCAACAACTCAAGTCATTTGGCAAGTCCAACCCATGTTGAGACTTGTCATTCAGAATCAGCTTGGTGCACTTATCACCAACAGAACATGTCAAAACAGCACCTTGTAGACTATACAAGGCACCCCGTTTAACACCTTTCAAAATCACCTTAGAACCCTTGTAGACAGACAACACTCCACCTATGAAACTGAAACCCTTGCTGTCTAGAAGAGTCAAAGATATCAAATTCTTAGTAATCTCTGGAATATGTCTAACATTGTTCAAGGTGCGAACATAACCATCATGTGTCCTCATCCTGGCGGAGCCTCTTCCAACAATCTTACAGATCACAATATTGACCGTAGAAACATGTCCTCCATCTATATGCTCATAAGTTGAAAAACACTCCCTACTTGGACACATATGATAATCAGCTGCAGTATCTAAATACCACACATCCTGATGATGTACCTGTTCATTCACTGCTAAGGCTAAACCATCTTCAGAATCAGAATTAGTTTCTTCCGCCACAGCAACAGATGATTCCTTCTTCTCCAGATATTTCTTTAGCTTAGGAAAATCAAATTTTCAATGCCCTTTCTCCTTACAGTAATGACAGATATCATCCTTCAAACCAACATAATTCGAATTTATATTAGCCTTTCTATTACCATATTGTTGTCTCCTACTACTCGTAGCAGCCAACCCAGATGCCTGATTTTCCAAACCTGAACCAGACGCCTTATGTCGAACCTCCCTAGTATGTAGAGCAGATCTGACATCTTCCAAAAACAAACTATCTTTCCCAGCAATAAAAGAATCCACAAAATTCTCATATGACTGTGACAAAGATACTAACAAAAATAAGGCAGCATCCTCATCATCTATTTTAACATCAATATTCCGCAGATCTAACAAGATAGTATTGAGTTGATCAAGATGATTCCTAAGAGACGTACCTTCCTCCATACGCAAACTGAACAAGCGTTGCTTCATATGCAACTTGTTGGTCAAAGACTTTGTCATGTATAAACTTTCAAGCTTCAACCACAAGTTCGCGGCAGTCATTTCAGCAGCAACCTCAGTGATGATGTCATCAGCCAAACAAAGCAAGATTGTAGAGTGAGCTTTCTCCAAAGTAATCCACTCTTCTTCATCTATACTTTCCTTCTTCGATTTTCCAGACAACGGAGCCCACAAACCCTATTGTTTCGACAGTGCTTGCATCTTGATTTGCCACAAACTGAAACTGTTTCTTCCGGTAAAGTTCTCAATCTTCATACTGATAGCAGCCATTCTTACTATCAAACAAACTCCAACCAAACTCCACAAAGCAAAACTTCAGTCCAACGCAAAATTCCCAAAACCGCAACCAGGCTCTGATACCACTTGTCAGAACAGAAGCGTGCAATCGATAATCCAAACCAACACGAGCGAACACAAATTTAACGTGGTTCACTAACACAATGTGTGCTAGCTAATCCACGGGCAATGGAGAACGAATTTCACTGATTTTGAGGAGAGTACAGGTTACAAACCAAATTCCAAACGGACAAACCAAATGAACTAACCTAACTGACCTTACAACATATTAGGGTGGTGAAGCGTATTTATAGAACTCTTCTCCTAATCCCAAACAGAAAACCAAACACCTTTTCCAAACATACAAGAAAAAGGCCAAAACAAAGCCCAAACACAAACCCAAACAAAATAGGCCCAAAACACAAAACAAACCCAAATCAAATCCAAGTCATATTCTAACAAATATGATTCTCCCCATCTGAATATGAACTAATACGATCGGCCCC